ATAAAATTGATTTCCTAAGCTTTTGTCTTATTAAAAAGATTGAGATTAAAATTTAAAAATAGGACGTTTACTTCAAGTGAATTAATGATAAAACTCTGTGAACTGAATTTCCTATAACATACTCCTCCATTAAAAGCCACTGAAGTGATTACTTCAGAAGTGGCTTAAAATATTTTTTTTAAGTGTTACACTATCACCAAATGAACAAACAGCAAATGGAAGCAAATTTCAAAATAACCTAGAGAATAAGAATTGACTTCACTTCCAAAAAGCAATTTCATAACACTAATAAGTTTATATATTTTATGTAGTTATGAGAAAGCAGATCTACTGTTCCATACAAAAATTAAAATATCACCAGCTGCATTTCCCATGTTATTAAAAATAAAACTCTAAAAAGGTAATAAAGGAGCCTTTCTCTATTATCTTCTAAAACTAAATTTAAAATGAAGATGGTTATAGTTCACCATATTTTATTGTCTTTAATCATTTAGGATTTACTTAGTATATTTTAAGCAATGTAAATTTGCATTGATGACTATACTGCTGTGCAAACTTTTAACTTGACAGCAATAAAATTCCTTTTTCCTCATATAAACTGTACATTACTCCATTCAGTTGTGCTTTACTTTTGAATAAGCACCATGAAAAATGAAGCTTGTAAGTTAGGTGGTCCAGTCATGTTTTTCAGAAAACATAACTTAGCAGACACAAACAATGTAAAACAAATATTGTGAATAGAGTATTTTTTTTAAAACTCTCATGATTAATTTTGATAATCACTTACCTTCAGGTAATTTAGGTGACTTCAATAGTCACTGTACTCTATACAAGTTAAAAGCATTCCCTGTGAAAATTAATATTTGAAAAGATGCAAATCTATCAAACAATAAAAATACAACAGAAGCGTAAAGTTTCCACATACCCTAAATACACTAAATATTTCTATAGTCTCAAATTCAGCACTATATTGCAGACTAATGTTAAGTATAAAACCCTAGTAAGAAATTTTTAGAATTTAATTTTGTGATAATATTTTAAAACTGAATTATTGTCCTCAATTTTCCTTGACAGCATTTCCTTGGAGCCATTTCCTTGGAGAAATGGCTTCATTATTAATCTTTCTTTATCAGACAAAAATAGTCCAATCACTACTTTCATAAAGGAATTTAACACTTCACAGGTTAGTTGCTGAAACACATACTACAACCTGCCAAAGACAAAGTCTTGAATGATCATTTTAATCCCTTCCCACCCCAATAAATAGAAAAATACTAATGTGAAAACAAGCAAACCAAGTAGGTTGAAATATAAAAATTATTGGGAGTGCGAGTATCAAAAAAGCAAGCACTTCATTGACTTTCCTTACTGACTTTTTTTCATATCAACTTTGGGTTCAATAAAACCACAACTCTAGAAATTAAGTGTTATTAGTCATTTGATGCAGTATTTGATACTGCTTTCTATGCATATCATAACTAAAAGTACAGTTTTAGAGAAAGTTTTAAGTCACATAAATTTAATGTGTAGAGGCCCACATACTCTGAAATCAAAGAAAATGCCAATCACGTCACAGCTCATATGTAAGAACCTGGTAAAATAATTTTAAGGTCTTAATAACCCAGATAATTTTAAATCAAGTGAGAAAAGTAATACTTTAAATGCCGAAAGAAATCTGTCTCCCAGACAGCATTCTAGTAATTTCTTTAGAGACTTTTTAAAGTTACATAAACATTTCATTTTTTGTTCCTATATATTTGAATGACTGTCAGTAATCCCTGCTGATAGAAGACTGCTTTGGAAGTCACAAAAGAATTTTTTCCATAATTATCTTCTGGGCAAGCGGGTCCAGTTCAGCCTTAGTAACATTTTCAATTAATGCAGACTTCAAACTTTGCAAACACTTTTTTAAAATATCACTTTTGACTTAACAGAAAACTAAGTTTTGGGAAGCTACTTCTTTAGTAAGTTTTATATTCATTTCAAAACAAAAACTTGGGCAAAATTAACTGTGCACATTTATATGCAGCTAACATAATCCAACGGAATAAAACCTCTCCCGATATAAAACATTTTCTTAAAAAAAAAAAATCTTCCCCACAATTTTTAGCAGGACATATAGACACTGTACTGTCACTCTACCTTTAAACAAAATGCAACTGATGTTTGCTAAGAAATAGCTTTTATTAAAAGTACTCTGCTAGTACTTATGCAATTACATAATTTTAGCTAAATATTGTCCACCGCCACAATTCCTATGACCAAATTAACATTACCAAATTTTAGGCCTTGACAGAGCCTAAATGCTTCAGTCACTTCAGACCAATAACTTAATCCTGTTTTCACATACCTTATACACTGGCCTACCAATAGCTCTCAATTCCTGTCAATACCTTCCATTCTGCAAAAACAGGGCTCCATCCCCATCCTTAATGAAAATCAGTCTGTTTTACCTGAAACAGCAAAGATTAATGCTTTTCAACAACCACTAACTTTTGAAGCCCGAAGGCCTAACTTTTAGACACCTAAAGCTATACGCTGTTAAAATTCTTGGGCTTCTGTCTTATTCAACAAGCTGACTCAGTAAATTTAACACACTGTATAAAAAAGCTAATATATCTACAATCTAAAGCTGGAGTAAACCCCTCTTACCGGCATTTTTGGGTATTAGCTGGTAAAATACACTTGACATTCTACACAAATCACTAAAATTAACAATACCAAAAAGTGTCAGAGGACCTGAAACCTAAAAATTAAGGTGAGCAGCAATTCTAGCATAACAACAATACTTAAAATTTCAAGCATGAACTGAAGTTTTAACTCTGCAATCTTCACTTGCTACACACAATACCCTTGAACCTACACGACATTGTCATCTGGGATCAAAAACTACTCAATCTCCATTCTATGTCTATGACAAGAGCACCGACCATTAAATGCTACTGAAGTGAAAATTTCAAGCCCTATCCTACATCACCCCATAGGGAGAGAAAAAGGTAAATATAACAAAGATCTAGTAAGAACGCCTTATAAGGTATATTATGGCACTATTGATTTCAAACCACAAAACTTCTAAATACAGTTCAAAGTTGTAAGTAACTTAAGTTTAAACATTAACAAAACTTTTTGCCCTCAATGTGCACCATATATACTGAAAATGATTCTGCTTCTAAAGTTATGCAAATCAGTCATATTTTAAAAGAATCTATGAATGCAACCCAGGAAACTAAAACAATCACTGCAAGATTCTGATGCAATATGCGTACGTGCAACACTAATTTTCATTTTATTCTCATCTATACCCTTGATCTAGGGCCTAAGCCAAGATTTAATCGAAATATGCTCAACCTCAAAGAGTCTACTTTTTTGTTCATTTAGGAGACCGATTACCAAGCTCGCTAATCCACTAACAGTGTACTGTATTCTGTATTAACGGACAATAGCCCTCAGGAAGAGACCACATAGATAGCCTAAGAAAGCAATCGGTGCCTTGACACTTGCAACCAGTCAAGAGTTCCGTCCAGCCGAACACACCCTAGGTTGAATACACAGAAGAGAAACACAAAATATATGACCTAACAACCTGACCAGGATTAAATGTTATAGTCACCCAAACTACGGACATTTTCGCATCCGTCTACTCCCACGTTCTAAGAGAGTGACAGAAAGGCAAAGAGGAGCAGCCGCAGAAATGGATACAGGTCAAGTCTAAGTCGAATCCATCCTCCTGATATCTCCTTTTGTTTCTGCTAACGATCTCTTTGATGATGGCTGTCATGTCTGGGAGCCTGTGGCTGAAGAAAAAGGAGGAGAGAGATGGCAGAAGCTGCTGGTGGCGGGGCTTCTTCTGCAGGATGGAAATGGCTCTGGACTTGGCGGTAGCTGATGCCCCTCGCTCTGCTGCCGCTTGGCTCTGGACCGCAGCCGGGTAATGGCTGCTGCGACGGCTGCTGGATGGTTGCAGCGACTGGGCCTGCTTCTCCTCAGCAGCCAGAGGCCTGGCAGCGGCGGCAGCGGAATGGGGAGAAGACGAATAATCCTCGGAACGGCTGCCTCCTCCGGCGGCCTCCGGAGCCCGGGCCACGGGGGGTGCGGCGGCGGCGGAGGGGAGGTTTAAAACCGGCCCGGGTCCCTGGATGTGCCGCCGCCGCCGCCGCCGTGTTGGAGGCAGTAGAAGGGGAGAGACCAACTCTCCGGCGTTCCCAGCCCTGGAAATGGTGACAGGCGACTCAGACCCCCTCCTTGGAGCTGCGGCCGCCGCCGCCGCCGCCGCCGCCGCCGCTTTTCCCCCCCGCTCCAGGAGCGGGAGGTGCCGCCGCCGCCGCGCCTCAGCCGGCTCCCGCCCGAGCCCACGGCTTCCACCTTCCCTTTCAGGAGAAGCCGAGGAAGAGGCTGCACAGTTAGAAGAGACGAAGAGGAGGCGAGAAACGCCGCCGCTGCCGCCGCCGCAGGCCGGCCAGCTCCCCGAGGGCGCTGCCCCCGCGGCTGCTCACAGGCGCTGAGAGGGGCTCCGGGCCGCGGCCGCCGCCGTCTCTCATCTCCCTCGCCTGAGCCCGGCCTCGCCTCACAGCGGCTCAACTCTCAAACTTCCATCATGGCTGCAGCTTCCGAGGGGAGAGAACTGAGCGCAACCGCGTCCGGGCGCCCGAGCCCGTATCCTGCCGCAGTGCACAAAGAGTCCCGCCACATCACCGTCCGCCGGCCTGCCCGCCCCCTCCGCCTGCCGCGCCGGGAGACCGGGCGCCTCCGGACACCGAGGGGAGGCGGGTGGCGAGCGAGAGGCCGACGGGACCGCGCCGGGGGAGGGAAAGGCACGACCGGGGCGGTCGGAGGGGGCAGGAGCTGTAGCTCCAGGTGCGTGCGCAGAGCCCCCAAGCCGCAGGCTCTACTGAGCATGCCCAGTGTGGCTGCCAGGGGCTAGCTCTGGTCCGTTCCCAGCCGCCCGCCTGCAGCTGCACTTGCCGAAGCTGCTTTTGCAGCAATGCTAGGCGAGGATAACGAGCTAAACCTCGGCGTCTGCCCAGAAACGCAGCCGGAGGCAGGGTAGGCTGTTGCGGGGCGGGGGAGGAGGACTGATGATGGAAGCTGAGATGGGTGCGTAGAGCAGTGTCACTGACTCGAGTCTGAGGTTACCTGTGCATAGGTGGAAAGGACCAGGTGGCCACACTAGTCAGTGTATAGGGAAATGCAGAATACCCTCCCCCCTGCCTCTGCCCCTGGACTTCCGCGGCGTGACCTGCATTCGCTCACTCCTTTTGCACCACTGTCGGATCACAATCGTTCGGAGAGATTTGACTGTAGTAGTCTTTGCCTAGAGATCTCCCTTCCCCCCCCCCGACCCTGTGTCCTCAAGGTGTCAGTCTTAGCATAAAGAGCAACCTGCTATTGTGTCTCCACTGTGTGTAACCTCATCTGGCTCCCTTGCAGCGCCCCACCTCTCGCTTCCCCCGGTAACTGCTCGTTTGCCCTAAAAATGAAAGCTCTCAGCCGACCGTGCTGAACGTGAACACATCGCCCCTTGAATTTCCACGGCCCAAAGGGCACCTATTTAAATGAACTGCACGGGGATCCCCGTCAGTGGGACGCACCCCGCAGCCCTCTCCTGAGCCCGCTCCGGTGCTCCCAGGATAGTCGAGCATCTCTCCCCACCAGGCAGACTCCAACGCAGTTCGCCGCGTCGGAGTCTAGCTCGGTCCTTAGAGACCACCTAGCCCCGCCCCTCCTTGGCTGCCGTGAAAACCCGGCAGGATGGATCGCCCGGGGCCAGGCTCCACGCGCCCCCGGACGGACCGTGCACGTTTGGGGTTACCGGGCCGAGTAGAAAGTACGGAACGGTAAGAAGCTGCAACCCAGGGAGTGGGCGGAGCGAGGAGACCTAGGAGGGTTCAAAAGGAGGTGGAAGGATACGCGGGCCACAGTCGGAACTACTTTTCGAAGGAGGTCACGTGTGTTCCTAGTTGGGGAACTTTCCAAATTCCCACTCCCCAGTGATACCTCCGGAGGCAACTACTCTTCCTTTGCTCGGGGTCCTCTCGCCTGGTGCAGGCAGCGGGAGCCCAGCCTTTCCCTCGCCGCGGCGGAAACAGGGGTTCGGACTAGCCTCCCGAAGAAGCGCTGTCGGGGCTGGCACTTGGGGAGCTGGTTACACAAGCACCCACATACAAACACGTGCCCCCTGCCTCCCGCCTGCTGGCTGCCGCCGATTCTTACGGAACGCGGGGAGAATCTCCAAGCTGGTCCCTTGCCTGCTACCCTAAGTCCCCAAGCTGGTCCCTTGCCTGCTACTCCTTGCCTGCTACCCTAAGAGCAAGCCAAATGACCGAGACCTGAGACTCTTTGCTCTAGGTCGACCTACACTGCACCTTCCCAAACGTGGGAAAAGGAGCTGGGCGCTAGGGGTCTCGGTCCTCTGCCTGGCTGATGCCCTGCCCCTTAGGACAAACCCTTTGCTTCTGTGCTCGCGGGTATCTCCTGCTGCGGCCCGGAGCTTGCATTCTCCGATGTTGCAACAGACGTCCAGTCATTACCCCTGAGCTGGTGAGCGCGCCCCACCTACTGTAGACTCAGCTAAGTGACTTATCTGGTCTGAGAACCTACTCCATGGCGGTCAGCCCAGAACAAACCTGTCAAGTCTGCTTACAGCCCCGATTGGACTGACCTGTCGCCGTGAAAGAGCTGGTTCAAAAATGCTGAGAATTGGATCGCACTCATTTTACCTCGCACCGCACCAGTCAAGGACTACAAAGCAAGTAGTCGCTTAAAGACAATGAGCATCAACACCAGTCTAGGATTTTATTGTTTTTTCATTTCCCTTAGGAAGCAGAACTCCAAACGACAATGTGAGTCATAAAATATCTAACGAGACCTAGGTTGAAGAACAGAATTGTTTTTCAAAATTTGAGAGAATGCAAATCAATCTGCATGTGTGTTCAGTAATTGTGAGTAGGTGCCTAGGAAAGTCTGAAGAGGATTTATGCTGTATTTGAGAAAGAGGACTGTATAATGTGCACGCAGTAGTTGCAGGCAACCTCTGAAAACTAGACACCCCAAGAGATCTAGCGCAGAAGGCCATAGGCCATTACCTAACTCCGGGACTACTAATTAAACCTGGACCATTTACAGTGTTCTTAGAGATCTGTGAGGCTCCATAAAACTTTGCACTTATATACAGCATTTAAGATAGCTCTGCAGGAGTTCACAACCTGCTGAAGCTTCGGGGTTGATATTTATCGAAGGTCGGTTTTGTGCATAGTTTTGGTCAGCTTGGGAAAGCCAAGGACCACAGTGAAAAAGGAAATGGAAAGCAACCAGAAAAGAATAAGAGAAAGGCCTCTAGTTGGTTTCCAAAGATGCAGATTCTGTCCACACAGCCTAGAGTGAACTACAGATTTCATTATTTTACAAATAACCAAGGATAAGGAGTTCATGATGTCTAGGTGTTCTACTAGATTGCATGGTAAAAAACAGAGCTGTGCTTATCAACTAGCGTGTGGTAGAAAAAGGGGAAATGAAGACGAACCTTTAAAAGGGGAGTAGATTAGGGAAGGGTAAAATGTCTCACATTTGTTTCTCAGGTTGCTGATCTTGTCCCCAGAGTCCCTGTTATTAGCTTTGCCCTACCCTGCCTCTCCCCTCAAGCCTACCCTAAGTGACAATTAGTATCACAGCATTTGAGAACCTCTGAAATCTGCTTTCATGGAAGAAAATGAAACAAGGTGTATTCCTATTCCTGGTGTGAGAGGATCCTCTTCAATTCCATGGCAGAGTTACTCTGGAGCAGAGAGGATCTGTATCACCAGCACTAAAGTGCTGGAATATGAGACTATCCTATAAGTGTTTCCATCTGGCTAAAGAAAAAAATGGGAAATGGTTTGCTGCTTCTGTAAACATCAGGTCCCTCTATTTCTCTCTAGTGGTATATGAAAGGATCATCAATGTTGGCAGATATTTGGCCATCCTGACAGCAACATCAGGTGGTTATTAGAAGTTGCTGAATAAAATCCTCCTCCTGTACCTAGTGTTGTTTCTGAAAGAAATACTGATGCATCCTTTTCCAATTTTTTTGTTTTTCTTTACCTTTCTCCCTAAATGGCTGGCTCTATCTAAAGTAAAGAAAGTTTCAAAAATACATATATTTTTAAGTTCAATTGAAAATACCTGCTTGGCTGTACAGATATTACAATACACTGGTCTCCAAGCACTTCAGTCCTTTACCTGTCTGGATTCAGAACCAGAATGCCACAGTGAGAAGCAGAAGCTTGTAACAAAGGGAGAATTATATAAAGCTTCAGGCTGACTATGTAGAATAATTAGTGAGCATGATAAACCAGCTTTAATTACAGTTTCTAACAGCTGATTCCAAAACTTTATTTTTACTAAGCCAAAATAATGTCCAAATAAACTTTCTTATTTTATTTGGTAAGCGAAATCACCAGCAACTTGATGTGGATGATATAAATACTTGATGTGCTCTTTGCAGGTCCTCTGCTAAAATGTCTTTTGTGTAAACACTCTGATTGTTATAGTGCGTTTCTCATCTCCCACACTCTGACCTTTCAAAAAGGGATCTAAATGGCTTTAATTTTTAAATAATCTCTATTTCTGTTTACTGTTTTCTAAATAATACAGAATATAAAAATATAATAATCATTGGATTGAATTTAAACCCATTCTGCCAAGGGTCTTGGCAGAGGTTTTCCCTTCATTTCATTTATCCTAATAACAAACATTATTGTTATTTCAATAAGGATAATTTTCTGAAGACATTCTCCAAAAGGCACTACTGTGGGTCATACAAGGAACTACATTCTAAAAGAGAATTTTCCATTATTGTCTACAAGCTTCCCATGTCCCAAATCTCTCCTGAAGCTATTTCAGATGGCACGGTGTCATCTTTCACATCTTATTAGAGAGATGTGCTGTATGAAATCATCATTCTCAGAAAAATAAGGGTTTAGTTGGTTGCTCCTGAGAACCACAGAGCAGACCAAGGAATCACTGTGTCCAAGTGACATTCAGAAATTTTGTCTTGGACCATGGAGCAATGAAAATAAAAAATACCTAACATGACAAGACAGCTTTGACTGTATTAGTCTCCAAGCTAACATTGGCTACCAGCTATTCTACTTGGTCTCCCTAATACTAACTAACTCTAGCCATGTGGAACACATAGCTTGCTTTTCAGACCTTCCAATAGTAGTAAAAGGTAATTCCCATATACCAGCAAATATTGGGACACCTACCAGGTGCTTCATAGAATAGCCCAGAAATTTTTTTTTTTTTTGAGATGGAGTCTCTCTTCGTCCCTCATGATCTCAGCTCACTGCAACTTCTGCAGAATAGCCCAAATTTGTCTAGTAGAGGGACACTGAGAAGGAGCCAAGACCTTGCTCTGCCTAACTCCTACAATTTTCCTCTTCAAAACATCCTTCTGGCCTCTGAGGCATCACAACAAAAGCACCTTTTTCAAAGAGAAAATGCATGGGAGAAATAGCCCTGAACCATGAAAAAAGGCAGACTTATAGCTTATCTACTTTTTCTTTACTTCTTTTCCCTTATTAAGACTCCACACTACATTTAAAGAATCTTTTTTGTCCATCCTCTTGAGGGTAGGGGATATTATCTTGATTCATTTATTTAATGATTTAATCAACAAATATTTGGGAGCCAATTATGTGGCAGTACTATTCTAAGCTCTATGGACAGAGCAGTGACTACTATGGCATATAGTGTTCACCATCATGGAATTTAGTCTGCATTGACAACTTGACTTCTTTGGCTGACATTGTTACAACCTCTTCCCGGGCCACAGAGAAAAGGTAAAGCAATAAAAAATACCCTGACATTTGATAATTGTTTTGTTTTGTTTTTGAGACAGAATCTCACTCCGTTGCCCAGGCTGGAGTGCAGTGGCATGATCTCAGCTCACTGCAATCTTCCTCTTCAGCCTCTCGAGTAGCTGGGATGACAGGCATGTGCCACCATGCCTGGCTAATTTTTTGTATGGTTAGTAGGGATGGGTTTTTGCCATGTTGGCCAGGCTGATCTTGAACTCCTGGCCTCAAGGGATCCTCCTGCCTCTGCTTCCCAAAGTGCTGAAATTACAGGCATGAGCCACTGCGCCTGGCTGGATAATTGTTTTCTGTTATCTACTGCTGCAGAAAAAATTACCTTAAAATTTTCTGCTGTCTTCCTCTTGGGATGCAGTCACTGTGTAAAGAATCTTGGGCCACTGAATGATGAGCAACCACAGCAAGAAAGAAGTTCCTAACCATTTTAGCCACTTTAACTGAGATCCCAGACATGTCGGAAGCCATCTTGGACATTCCAGACCCAGCCAGACTCATCCCTGAATAAAGCACATATCTGACCCAAACTGTTATCATGGGGGCCACTTAAAACAGTGGCTCAAAACAATTACCACCATTTATTTTCTCACAATTCTGCAACTGGGGAAGGCCACAGCTGGACAGGTTGGCTCCCCCATGACATCAGTTAGGGTCAGACGTGCTTTACTCAGCAGTGAATTTGCCTGGGTCTGGAATATCCAAGATGGCTTCCCGCATGCTTGGGACCTCAGCTGGAGTAGCTAAAAATGGTTAGGAGCCTCCTTTCTTGGTGTGGTTGCTCATTATTCAGTGGTCCAGCCCAACCTTCTTTACACGGTACGTGGATCCCAAGAAGAATACAGCAGAAACTAGAGGGTCTCTTAAATCCTGGGTTCAGAAGTCCCAGAATGTCACTTCTACTGCATTCTCTTGGCCAAGCAAGTCACAAGGACAGCCCAGATTCAAAAGGAAAGGAAAGAGACTCTATTCTTTGATGGAAGTAGTGGCTGGGATAAAAGAAATTGTTGCCAGGCAATTTGGGCAACAGTCTGTCATAATCCATCCTCCAGGTACAACAGTATCCGTATGCACATATATGGACACACAGACACACACACACACACACACACACCACACACACCCATACAGAATACACTCACTCCCTTTCTCCAAAACTATCATTCTGTATAGTATCTGTGTTAAGGTTCAGGATTTAGTAATACTAGACCCAGATGTGGATGAGGCATTTCAGATGCAGCTTCTCTTCATCTGGAGTCCTGTTAACTAAAAGACAAGTTACATATACAACATACAATGCTGAAAAAGGGATAGGATAACTGCAGTAGACAAGCTTGTTTGAAAATGGGAAAAATGGAAAGCATATAGCAGTCATTAGTTCATAGCAATTCTGAAATCCAGCCAAGCACTGTCACCGGTCCTCTGCGGATCAAGTTTTCCATTACTGCCTAGGTTGGCCTCCCTCAGAATAGTTTCCCAATGCAGTGTTCTCAATAGCTCTTAGCTCCACCCTCTGGGGTCTAGACTAGGACCTCTGAATCAATTTTCCTTTTTCATAAGAAACTGCCTTCCTTTTACAGTTGAATAACTCTCTCAGCCTGCTTCCTTCCCATAGAAAGTTGGGGGCTTGGAAGCTTTTTTTATTTTGAACTGTGTCTTCCTTAGTCCAAGCTAGTGTAGTTTTAGCCATGTAACTCTATAGTTTTGTGACTCTTATTGGAGTTCACTTTTTGCCCACAAAGCAACATCTATAATTCTTTCAAAAACAAACCTCTCTGCCTACAGTCCTAGCACTTTGGGAGGCCAAGATGGGAGGCCAGCAGTTTGAGACCAGTCTAAGAAACATAGTGAGACACTGTCTCTGAAAAAAATTAAAAATTAAAATTAAAAAAAACCTCTCTCTACTGTGGACTTGTAGAGGTGGCTACTGTAGGACAGCCCTTAAGATTCTTAGAAGACCTTTTATGTAGATGTGAGACAGTATCTTAAATATTTTAGAGGTCTTGGCACCTTGATAGGATCTTTACCTTGAGGCCAATTCTACAGGCAGGGCCTTGAGGCCATTTCTTACTTTAAGAGTCTTTCTGGCATAAAGAGACTCTGCTTAAAAATGAAATAGTTCCTTTTTTAACACATCTCTGTTTCTAGTGATATCATCATACATCACTTGTGTATCCTTGTACATCCCTAAAAGAAGCAAACTGACACTGAACATTCAGCCTGAATGTTGCCAAATCCACAAGTTTATTAGGTACACTCTCTGTCTTCTATGTTTTACCATACATTGGGTTTTCAAACATTTTGCTGCTACTAACATGATTTTTCCAACCTTCAATAGCTATTTTCTCACTGCTCTTATACAGCCTCTATTACGAGTCTTTTCCCCAGACTAAGGAGACATATCAACTAAGTTCAAGCGTGGGAACCTGGCTTAAATCTTGGAACAGAAAAAGAACATCACTAGAAAAACAAGTGAATTTCATATAAGGTTTGCACTTGGTGTTAATTTCCTGGTTTTGATCATTGTTCTGTGGCTATTAATAAGTTATTGGCCAGGAACAGTGGCTCATGCCTATAATGCTGACACTTTAGGATGCTAAAGCAGGAGGATGGCTTGAACCCAGGAGTTCAAGATCAGCCTGGACAACATAGTGAGACCCCTATCTGTTGAAAGCAGGATTTTTTTTTGGTGGGGGCAGAGTCTTGCTCTGTCGCTCATGTTGAAGTGCAACAGTGCAATCTCAGCTCACTGCAGCCTCTACCTCTTGGGTTCAAGCAATTCTCCTAGCTCAGCCTCCTGAGTAGCTAGGATTACAGATGCATGCCACTACACACAGCTAATTTTTGTATTTTTAGTAGAGATGGGGTTTCACCATGTTGGCCAGGCTGGTCTTGAACTCCTGGCCTCAAGCAATCCACCCACCTCAGCCTCCCAAAGTGCTGAGATTACAGGTGTGAGCCACCATGCTTGGCCAAGACCCCCATCTCTTAAAAAAAGTTAACAATACTAGAGCTTCTGGGTAACAAGTATACATAAACTCCACACCAGGCCAGGCATGGTGGCTCACTCCTGTAATCTCAGTGCTTTGGGAGCCCAGGTGGGTGGATTGCTTGAGCTCAGGAGTTTGACACCAGCCTGGGCAACATGGAAAACCTTGTCTCTACAA